TAGAATTTGATGCAAAACAACAATTTTGAAATAAGTAGGACATTTGATTCTACATTAGAGAATTTACTGAGAGGTATTTGTCTAAGGATAGAAAAGGTGTAATTAAGTGGGTGTAATGAAGTAATTGAGAACAAATAAGCAATGAACCTTAGCCCAAGAAAGGAGGAAAAACTTTACTCCCTCTGGCTTAAAAGACTCAGCTTCAATTCCACAGCTCAGATATATTTCTTTTCCTTTTGAAATAATCTGTGTGTAGATTGTTTTTCTTCCTGGGAACTCAGAATTTTAATCAGCTTATATTAAACCTCCTTCTTAAAAAGAGATTAATTCTTATCTTAGCTAAGTCATTTGTTCATTACTTTTTATGAGATGGAATAATGTGGGACCATTACCGTAAGACCACCAGAGTGCTAGCAGCTATCATTTTCCTGTACTTGCTATTCTGCCAACAATAACCAAAAGGTCAAAACACTGAGACAAATATTTGACCCAACTTTCCTTCAGACACAGGATATATAAACAGGAATTGTTTGAGTAGAAATGTAATCACCACAGAAATCACGCACTGAAGCCCAGCATAATCAGAGAGCCATCATGTGAAGTAGGAGATAAATATAGGACTCACAACTATGACTGTTATCATCTAAACAGGATTGTATTTTATCTTTTTGAAGAGAATTTTGTTTCCTGGGATGACCAAGTCCCATCACCATGATTTCCCTTTCTCCCCAGCAATGACAAGAAACATAATTGTTACAAAGCAATGGAAACTTCCTAAAGACTGGTCTTGGTTTGCTGGCTTTGTTAGAAAATGGTAACCCCTTTACTTTCTGTCAGGGAATGCCAGTCCTGAGGCAGAGAGAGGCTGCCTCGATCCCTGCCCAAGGTCTCTGTAGTGAGGGCATCTGTTGGACCAAAGAGACAAATAAGAACAAGTCAAAAGAGCGTGGCTCCATGTTGATTTTGAGGGCTGGTCTCCCAGCAGTAAGTCTCTCACTAGTAGAAGCTTTTGGGTGCTACGTGTTGCTCTGTTATTTCAGAGAGGCGAACCTATAGAGATGGGACATGTCCTGCTGACACTCTTTGAGACAGACGTGGTATTGCTTGTTGAAGCAGAACTTAGTAATGTCTGATGGGGTGTAAGTCGTGTGGATCATGCAGGTGTTGAGCAGCACAATGAATTCACATTTCCACACACCAGTTCCATGATATGAGCCACGTCATTCCAACCAAAGCCCACAGACTCCATTTGTGCTCAGGGCGGTCACATCTCCTGACAATATATGGCTTTATCTGCTTTCCAATCCACCTGGTAAGACATGGTGTCCCTCTGCCACTTGGCAAAGTTCATGAGTGTGTGGCTTCTCATCTAGACATGGTACCTCCATGTGAAGAGATGCCCAGCATTGATAGCACACTCTGCTTTTGACCTGGGAAAAGAGATCTGGTATCCCAGCCTCTGGAATGCTGGAATGATTGTCGCTTTCTTGCTGTAGTGAGGTGGAGCTAGAGGGTGGACTTCTTGAGGAACTCAGCCCACCTGCCCACAGGCAGGCGGTGGCTGTCACACAGTGACACGCAGGGGTGCTGATGTGCTTCATGACCATGCTGCGCGGCAGCTTCATGGGGTAGAACTTTCCCTTTCTCACAGCATGCGGCAGACAAGGTCATGGGGTCATTAGCAGCTTAGAGCCCTGTGCATGGCAAGGACCTGCTGGGCCTTGAGATTGGACAGGTAGCGGGCCAGGCTGATGGGCCTTCCCAGTGCTTAGGGAAGGCCTTCAGCACCGGGGCCTGTCCCTGCGGAGCTGCGCGACCAGAATAACAGCACTGCGGTCTGCAGCAGGCTCCTGTTCGTGGTGCCATAGCACGGCCAGGTGCAGGGGACAGTGAAACACTGGCTGCAACTTGTAACACAGGTCGTCTCCATCCAGTTCAGTGAGATGTTGCTGGAAATTTTCACTGCTGACTTCAGCTTCACGGGAGCAGCCACCTCAAGAGGTCCCAGTCACGTTCCACTAAGGTCAGATAGAAGTTGTGGGAAAGCTCCGAGTGCTTGTTTTTCACCTGAGCTTTTTGAGAGGGTTATAGTGAATGACCTTCTCACTAGACGGTAACTTTTCTGAGGGCAGAAACCATGCCTCGCCCAGTTCTAAAGTTCTAGGTGCTCCTACAGACTGTAGAATAGCTTGCCCAGCTTGCCCTTTCCTGGCTGTTATCAACTGTTCCTGGCCAGGGCTTCATTGTCTAATAGTCTTTGAGTCCACAGAAGGCTCAAAGACTAGAAAAATTTTGATAGAACCTCTTCCATTCTCCCTTCTTTAAACCAGCACACAGCTCATTGCTGGTTTCCTTAAGCAGAATTTTAGACATGGAAAGGAGTGGAATATAAATATTTTACTTAGGCAAAGACAAATGATGATTTCACTATTGCATTATTGCTTTGATCATTTTTAACCCTTTTAGACACAATATCTAATTTTTATAACAAATAGTATAGTAAATACCCTCTTTACTTTCCTGCAATAAAAATCACAGAAAGCAAAGCTTGTCTATATATGCAAGTTTAAAAAAATCAATAAAATCAATACATATGTAATATGTTAGGGCTCAGATACAACTACACAAAAAGACAAAAACACTTCATTCCTAAATTTTTTTTTTTCTTGAAAATGCCAGTGAGAACCAGTTGTTGCCTCCGGGAAGCCTGTGCCAGAGCAAATCAGAGAAGTCTAGCCTTAAAGCAGGTTGTCAATATTGTGTGAGCCTTTGCTTAAAGTTTAGGAACTCACAGCCTAGCTCCATGCCTCATGTAGGTATAGATTTTATTTAAAAAAAAATAAATTCTGCTACCAATAGTGTTACTCACTCTTACACATTCTGGGTAAAAGATGTGTCTCCAAAAACTCCATGTTGAAAACACATGTTAGGAGTATTACCAGTTAATTATCACCATTCCCACACACATGCCCGAGAGGGAATATAGATTAAGTGAGTACTGACGAAGCACAGAAATCTAAGAAAAATAAGCTATGCATTATGGGAAAGATATATAATGACGTATCAGTGTCAACTAGAAAGTGTCATGAGTACAACTGCAGGAAGAGAAGTAAACAAATAGACAGCTACCTCTTGGCTTTACTTAAGGATTTACCAAAGGCTCATTCTGGAGAGTATAAAAAATTAGTGCACATGATCTTTCAGATTGACTGCAAAAGAGACTTTAGGGCCATCTTATTGAAACTGTAGACTGCCAAGGACAAAGATGACATGTTAAAAGCTACCATAGAAACACAACAGATTACCTTCAAAGTAACAGCAATTGAGTTGAAAGGAGACTTCTCACCTACAACAAGAAGCCGTACAACAATGGAGTAATATCTTGAAAGTGCATAGGAAAAGTGACTGTCAGCACAAAATTTGTACATCCAGCTGAACTAGTCACAATTGTAGAGAAAATGTAGACGTATAAAAATAAAAATACTTACTTCACCCCCCACCCCTGACCCTTAATTTAAATAACTGTACAACTTCAACAAGAAGAAAAAGTAACTTAATGGAAAGGAGAAAAATACAAGAAGTAGCAATGAGGAAAACATCAATAAAATATAATTTGTATAATTATTATAATAGTATTAATATTCATGGTAATGAAATGACATATTTGCATATAAGATAGAGCAAAAACTCTACATAGTGTTGTGGAAAGTAGGGAAGGGAAAGGTAAGATGGTATAAACCATGCCAAGGTCTTTGTCTAGATATAAAATTAATTTTAATATCAGTAAAATAAAATAAATAATATATAACTATATGCTACAAAATTTAAGGGTCAGCATTAAAAGTATAGAAATATTAGTTGTGTCTTCCAAATTGGAAAAGGAAATCTATATTTTTTTCCAACACATGACAAGACAGGAAAAGGGAAACATGGAAGAAAAGAGTTTCATTAGACTTTCTCTTAGCCAAGCATTTTTATTGCACTCACTGTATAAGCAATGCAAGCAAATACAAACACAAAATATAAAATACCATAGCAAAGTGGGAACATAAATGTTAGGTAACTCTTGGGATACACTATCTTTTCCCATTGATCAGGGGGAAAAAAGGATCAATAGGTTAAGGATGCTAGACTTAAGTTGAATAAGGATAAAAATATTTGAACCTAGTCAACTTGGACATAAAATAGATTTTATAAGAATATTACAAAGTAAAATTATGAAAAATTATAATACCCATCATAAATATGTGAATGAATAGTAGCCAAAGTAAAAGCCATGTAAATTGTATAAAGCAGTGTGTGGCAAATAGTAAGTTCTCAATAAATTCCAGCTATCAGTATTGCAGCTGTTGCTTAAATTTTTCTCATAATTATTCCTTTATATGTATGTGTTTTTGTTTTGTTTTATTTTTGATAGACTTTATTTTTTTATTTCAGAATATTGCGGGGGTACAAACTTTTTGGTTACTTGAATTGTTTTTATACAGTTTGAATCAAATTTATAAGTGTATCTATCATCCAAATTGTATTATACCCATTAAGTATGAATTTACCCATCCCTTCCTCCCTCTCCCACCTGTTTGATTTACATTGAGTTTTAAATATTAACATGTGTACACATGAGCATTGATCAATTAATTCCAATTTAATAGTGAATACATGTGGTGTGTGTTTTTCCATTCTTGTAAAAGTAGACCTCCCATCAGATCCAACAATCCCACTACCGGATATTTACCCAAAGGAAAAGAAGACATGTTATAATAAAGACATCTGCACTCAAATGTTTACAGCAGCACAATTCACAATTGAAAAGATGTGGAATCCTCCCAAGTGCCCATCAATACATGAGTGGATTAAGGAAATGTGGTATCTATATACCATGGAATACTACTCAGCCATAAAAAAGGGCAAACTAATACCTTTCATAACAACCTGGATAGAACTGGAGACCATCGTTCTAAGTGAATTTATCACAAGAATGGAAAAGACAGACTCTAATTTTTAGAGCAGTTTTAGGTTCACAGCAAAATTGAGCAGAAGGTACAAACTTTCCCTGTGTTCTTTCTTTTATCTTTGATCTGACTTCAAGCTGTTTGCATTCAGAATCCCTGTTTTGCTTTTGTTATCCCTAAGGCACATTATTTATACACAAAAGGTACTTAATAAATTTTGATTAGTTTGAAATTATGATAACTGTTAACTGTTTTTTTTTCCTCTCTGACAGTAGCTAATACATTACTGTGCAAATAATACTTCTCTAGTACATATTTACTGATTGTTTTCGTATTATTTTAGATCATTAGTATATAAAGTAAGACTCTACGAGTAATAAACTATCCAAAATTTAATCTATAGTAAACTGTTCTAGGGCAATAAATTTCAGTGAACTCATTGTACAAAAAATGTTGTTGATCTAATATCATACCGGTATTATTCCAAGATCTTAAAGCTTCTTTACAGGAATGTTTTGGTTCTAATCCATCCATCTTGAAAACTCCCCTAAATATCATCTTTGCAAGTATAACAATTCAGACCTTGGTTTTTAAAACTAAAATATGTAACTTGTAGATTTTAAACTTCATTTTATGATTTCATTTGTAACACTAGTAAAATAATTGTGGAAGGTAATTAAATCATAGGGACAGTACTAGCACTTCCTGTGCAGACTTTGAAATTCTTTGATTATTCTATTACAAACCACTAATCTAAGTAAATAAGGAAACATCACTACCAAGATTTTTTTCACTTAATGTTTGAAGGGATTTTTTCTTATAATTCAGGAGCTAGCTAAGGAGATGAAGGAAGAGAAGATGCTTTTAGATTTCTGATCGAAACTGCAGTGTGGATCCTCTCATTTTCTTTTTATAATCTTCTTCAAATTTCTCATACTGGGCTACAGTGAATTGGTTCTTCCAGTCTCCTGAAATACCTAAAAGGAAAATACAAAATGGCAAATTTGAGACCTCTATAAATTTCCCTTTGGAGATCAGTTTTAGTTTTAGTTACTATACCCTGTATTTTTAAACCTTTAACTTTAGGGTGTCATACCTGTGCCAAAATTCTAATCCTAAAATCCTGCTTTCCATTCCCAGACTCCTGGGCCTTCTAAGTCTTCCAAAAAGTCCCATGGATTCTTTCCAATATCTTATGTAAAGAAATAATCCTTTAAATAGCTTAGAGAAATGTCATTGGGAAAAAATCCAAACCTCAAAATCTTGATTCTTTGGCTTCAAGAGCTTTGTTAACAAAACATATAGAGAATTTTTCCGTCATTTTAAAACTGGTTTCCCATGCCAAATGACAATTTATCAACAAAAGATCCATGGTCAAATAGGATTGAATATTACTGGGTTAAATGTAATTAAACATACTTCTTTCCTTCAGGATTGACCGGTCTTCAAAATGTTAATCATGTCAAAAACCTTGAAGGAAGGATACAGGACACAGCATTTACAATGAATATCTGGCTTTTAAAAAATGCCATTTTCATAGGTTATCTTACAAAATAACTGAGAAGACACATTTGGAAGCCAGTTTTAGGAAATAGAAGAGAGAAAGAAGAAAACATGCCAAAATAACTGTCAACTGGCCTAGAGTTTCTCAACTTTGACGCTATTTTATTTATATCTCCACTGCTGACATTTGGCACTAGACAATTCTTTGCTAGAGGAAGGGAGGATTGTCTTGTGCATTGTAGGATGTTTTATGGCATCCTTAGCCTCTCTCTGCTAGATGACAATAGCCTCCTCCTAGTTGTGAAAATTATAATGTCTCCAGATGTTGCCAAATGTTCCCTGGAAGACAAAAATTATACCTGGCTAAGATCGGATATTCCAAGCCAATTTTTTTTTTTTTTTTTTTTTTAGAGTCTCACTCTGTTACTTGGACTAGAGTGCGATGGCATCAGCCTAGCTCATAGCAACCTTGAACTCCTTGGCTTAAGCAATCCTCCTACCTCAGCCTCCCAAGTAGCTGGGACCACAGGCATGCACCACCATGCCCAGCTAATTTTTTCTATATATTTTTAGTTGTCCAGCTAATTTCTTTCTATTTTTAAATAGAGACAGGGTCTCACTCTTGCTCAGGCTGGTCTCAAACTCCTGACCTCAAGTGATCATCCTGCCTTGGCCTCCCAGAGTGCTAGGATTACAGGCATGAGCAATCGCACCTGGGGCCAAGCCAAAACTTATCCACGGCATACTTTCTAACATTCTATAAAAACTGAAAACCTGTAGGATCTATAAAACATATTATAGTAAAAATTACCCTTAACAACCCCTTTATAGCCTCTCACCAAATCACTTGTCTCTCAAAAAATGTCTTAATTTTTTTATTGCTAATATTTATTCACTCCCTTCTTTCCCATAAGAAGACTTTACATCTCTGTCCACCATCATGTGCTGCACAGTTTCTCCTTGTCTCCTTAACTTTGGGCTTGGGTTTTTGAATACGCTTTGGCAATGGTATTTGACTCTATGTGGCATACATCACATCTGAAGAGAAACTGTGAACGATATTTTAAGTTTCCATCAGCTCTCTTGCTCCTCTTCTCTGCTGATATTGAGCATATACCACACATGGGCAGCTCTTTCAGCCTGGGCTTCAAAAAGTGAAGACACAAAGGATTGAGCCCAGGAGAGACAAACAAAACTGCAGCAGCCATAGGGGACCAGTATGCCACTGAGATTTTGGGGGGTTGTTTGTTTTACAGCAAAGCTGACTAATACATATACAACATTCTCTCTCTCTCTCTCTCTCTCTCTCTCTCTCTCTTTCTCTCTCTCTCTCTCTCTCTCTCTCTCTTTCTCTCTCTCTCTCTCTCACACACACACACATGCACAACCACAAACAGAATTTAACTTAACATATATTTGTTAAAGGACTATATTTTGCCTGATGCTATATGTTGAGTTCAATAATGAAGATGCAATGATTTACCAAAGACATAGCAACAACTTCAAAAGTAGACATTTTCCTTCATTAATTTAGTATGCCTAATATCACTTAAGCTAGCTACCTAGCACAGGAAAATTTTTGTGGTAGATGATGGAGAGTATCTAGATAATTCAGACAAATGAAGGATATTCTTTTGATATAGCAATGGGTGCCAAAATTCATGCTTACAGATGCATAAGCTATTGAATAAACATTTCTCTTTAGAAGGCTTATCTTACATGTTAGACTTGCAGCAAAGATGGAATTTCTTTGCCACAGATTATTTCCTCTAAGGTTTAGTTTCTAATTTTTCTCTTCCTAGCATACTTCATTTCTTTCCATTTTATATGATAGATATTTCTCATATCTGACCACTTACACTCTCCATGATGTAAGTAGCAAGCTGTACAGAAACTGATATACAAAGTCCTCACCTTTTCTCATAAAAGGAGACACAGAATGGTCCATCTCCTCCTTTCCCATAGTGGTATAATTGGCACTCGGGTTCTGCTTCATCACATCAAAAGAGCTGTGATAGAGAATTTTGTTCACAATTTCTTCTGGCATGTCTTTCTCTAGAAACTTCAACAGCTTCTGAATTCCACACTTTGGGTTCTAAATAAATTAAACAGAAAAAGAATCATTTCAGGTACATTTAGTCATGAAGCGGGGAATGCTCTTACCAAGGTCCTACATATGCCAAAGTAATGAAGAAAATAATTTTAGATTTTTATGTGCATTTTTAGTTTTACTTTCCCAAGTATATATTTTGCCTTTCATTATACTAGGCAACCATCTTCTAAGAAGTGAGATTAAAATTTGTTTCAAAAATGCAAGCTAAAAGATTAGATTAATATTTAACCTTTCACATTCAAAAATAGAATTAACTTACAGAATAACAGATGGTAAGAGAGCAAGCTGGTATTATCGTTAAGTATAATTTTCATAATCCTTTGATCTCTTCTTCTTGTGTTAGCATATCTAACATCAGGAATGAACTACCTAAAGGAAGATTTCTCTCACAGTGGAAAGAAGATTCTACTTCTCATACCTACATAGACTTTTTCATAATATGAGTATATAAGGGAAAATGTCAAATAAAATCATGTGCATTTTTCAACCTAAAGGATGGTGGGAAGAATAAAGGCAATGTTGAAAAGAGATTCATTTGATGTATTTCTTGGAAGGCAGCTACACTCATCACTATATCACCAATGCAATTTGATGTATTTCTTATGATTTCCCTTCTCTGTTGTTCACACTGGACATAGGTAGTCTTATTAGATACAGTGAAAAATAATGGCATTCAAGCCAAATATTTTGCACTCTGCTACTCATCAGGTAGTTGTTCTCAGTGGTCCAAACCAAACTGAGGCAGAGTCATAATCTTAGGGGACCTAGTGAGATCAGGAAGAAAGACAACATGCGATTTAGCTTTCCTGAGTGACTCATCTCACTTCATTGAAATGGAACCAGAGAGTTACTGTGGTGGCCTTAAAATAACCTATTTCTTATAGTCACAGAGCTGAATTTGTTGAAGATTATACACAAATCTTAATTTGTGGAAGAATCACAATGAAAGTTGAATTCACAGTTGTGCCAAGTCTATTGCGTGAAAGTTAAATGGAAAACTGACCAAGAAAGGGTGGAATGCTAAAGCTTAGAGTGAGAATATTCATGGCATGTTGGATCTGATGACACAAAGAATTATGGACCCATGAGTAATTCTGAGCCTTCTTTTCCAGAAGATGTAAATTTTCTTCCCATATTTGAGGAGCTTTAAGATCTTATGACAACCTAATGTAAGAAAGTTTTCTTTCAAATTATGCTTATCCTCTGAAAGACTCACACCCAAACACTTTTTTTTTTGCATCTAGTCTCCTAGCTAGAGTAATATCTCCCCATAATTCAGAGTGACAAGTGCAAAGTGGTTTAAACAGGATGCATAAGAAGCTGAGAATTTAACTAAGGAACCTGATAGAGGTAGTTACCTTAGCTGAGTGAGGTGGTTTATCTTGAGATGTAGAAGAGGTTTCCTAAATTAGAGATGAATGGGAGTCATGGCCATCTTTAAGGAATTCACAGAAACCTAAGCAACCAAGATGAGGCTAAGTCAGGACTGAGGAGTCCTAAGGAAGTTAAGGCAGGTAAACCAGACTAACAGTTCTACCTGTTAGAGACTTTAGTTTTGAATGTCAGTATGGCTCACAAAATTCAGATGTTAAAGACCTGAAGGAAAAGGTTAATCTGAAGTTAGTGGAGAATTTTTTTTTTTTTCAGGTAGACTCACTCAGTGAGAAAGAGAAAGGTGGCACAAGAACAAGATGGAGAAATAGACAAGGACTAAATAATGCCAAGCTCTATAAATCACCTTTGTTATTCTATATCACATACAGAACCAGAAGCCATTGAGAGATTTTAAGAAGAAAGTGAACATACTCTGATTCCGATTTTAAAAAGATCATTCTCTCTGGGTGGATAACAGAAGCAAGATGAGGTAGTCCAAGAAAGTTGAGATAGATGCATGAATAGAGTGGGAGGCAATAAGTAGTACTAGCAAGAAGTAGGTGGGTACAAGATCTATTTTCAAGGCACAATTGATAGAATAGTAGATTAGCCATAATTATAGACCAAGAGGAAAGGAAAGTACGATACAAAGAAGATGAATCTTAGGTTTCTTTCAAAAATAAAGAAGAAATTGCAGTTGTTTCTTACCTCTTTCATGTCTTCATAAAATAGGTAAAGGATACGATAATCTTTCTTCTTCTCCCACCAGCCCTTCACATGGTCATACCAGGAACCAAAAGACACTAAATTGAAAGGTAAATGTTAGGCAAAATAAAGACTGGTTAAATGTCATTCCAAGTAATCATTATCAATACATACACATTGATTAACTATCAGTTCAAGAAAGAGGAAAGATAAGGATAAGAGAAGTATGAGATAACTCTTGTTCTCAATGAATTACAAAATAATACTGTAATCAGTTGAATTCTGTTATCCTAAAATCCATATGTTTAATTCCTAACCCCCATATTTCAGAATGTGACTGTATTTGGAGATAGGGTCTTTAAATAGGTAATTAGGTCATTGAGGTAGACCCTAATCAATATGATTGATATTTCTATAAGAAGAAGAAATTAGGACATACACACACAGACCATTGAAAGATATAGAGAAAAGGCAGTTACCTACAAGCTAAGAAGAAAGGACTCAGAAGAAACTAATCCTGATGACACCTTAATCTTGGACTTCTAGACTCCAGAGCTGTGAGAAAATAAATTTCTGCTGTTTAAGGCAGTCAGTCTATGATATTTTGTTATGACAACCCCAACAAACTAATACAACTTCTAATAAATAAAACTAAAACTACAATAGCAAGGTGACAGATACTAACACATACAGGAAGTGATATGGAAGTTCATAGGCCAGAGAGAGAGAATAAGAGAGAATTATAGGAACAGAGAAATTCAGAAAGGGCCATAGAGGAAGTAGAGTTCATTTGAATCTAAAAAGAAGAATTGGGCTTTGATAATGATGAATATGAGGATGACATTCTATGAAAAAAAAATAGTCCAAGCAATGACAGGGATAATCTATGGAAGATACCACTGAGATGTATTTGCCTAAAAGAGAGACTTTATGTAGGAGAATATCTGAAAATTATAAGTAGGGTTAGTCCCATGGATGTAAATATGTTTCCCTGAAGAAGATAAAACACAGGTAGAAGAACAGAGTTTTGAAAACAAAACTTTCACTCATATAATAAATATGAAGAAATGATAGATAAGAGAGAATTCAAGAATTCATATAAAATGAAAACAGTGCAATGGCATGCTCATTGAAAAAGGAAAGCGCTTAAATAAATTGGCAGTAGTCACTAATCACTAATGAAATGGTGAGACTAAGGACTCAGAGATCTGTCACTTGTTCCTTAAAAGTCCTTTAAGAGAAGAGATGACAATATATTCTGCTTCCTCTGCAGTCTTCCTAATGCATTAGTAGAGAGCTAGGTACATAATTGGTTTATAACACGAGACTTATATTTAAACTTCATATCACCTTACAACAAAGACTTTTGATTACGGAACTCCATGATTAAAGGAAGAGTTGGACCCACCCTTTCCAGTCATGAATTTGTCCAGGAACTCTTCCCAAGTTCCAGGCTCGGGGTGCAGTTTTGCCATCTGGTAGAAATAATAGTAAGACACAGCCACGTCTTTGGCATTCCGTGCCACGTAGATCATCTGTAGGGGGATATGGGAGAATCAGCATTTGTTTCTATTGTGTAGCAGTTTTTAAACTTCTGTTTACTTTGATAGAGTACTTATTTTCTCTTTTCTGATTTTGGCATTTACTTCTATATCCTGACATAGGATATTCACAGCTGTATATGGTTTTAACACAGAGAATTCTCATCTCTCACACCTCTGTTTACTCTTTAGCGCTCCAAAAGAACATCTCTCTCTCTCTCTCTTTTTTCTTTTGGTTTGAGGCAGAGTCTCAACAGACTGTTGCCCAGGCCAGGCTGGGCTCTGGGACTCCAGCAATCCTGCCACCCCAGTCCCTTAGTACTTGGGATTGCAGGTGTGCACCACTACGCTCAGCAAGAACATCTCTTAAAACATGAAAACATGGAAAATCAAACATGAGAATTATAATAACCATTAAATCAATAAAAATTAACTAATATTATCTTTAAATCTGGAATGTTTTTCTGTATCACTTATTAAAACCAATAATGAAAAGGAGAAGGAAACTTTAAAGGATGAAAAAATGCCCAATGTTTTATTGAAAATAAATTCTTACTTGGATAAATTTACAGTCAGAAAAGATTAAACCTTCTTCATTCTGTCCAAGATCATAGTTACATAACAATCATTGCTGCTTGTCATGACTGGTGTGAGATTAGAATTTCTTTTATGTATAAATCCCTTGAATCTGCATGAAGGCAGAAATTTTGAACACATTTCCAAATAGAAATGATATTGTTATGTCTCATCGGCAATTAGGTTTTCGGGCAAGTTCAGTGAAATCTATTAAGCCTACTTCTCCTATGAAGCACACCTAATAATACTGAGGACTCAGCCACCCTTGCAGTAAATATATTTCTAAGGGAAAACACATTCAGGAAGAAGCCTTCTTTAAACTTAGTAGGATCAGAGCTTCCTTCTTCCCCAACTGATGGGCAAAGGAAATAGGAACTTTTATATTCCCAAGTTACTGGTAGTGATTCTCATAGTTGGAGACAGGGATTCAGATAAAAAGAGAGTAGCAGAAAAGCATTTTTTTCAACAGCTTGAGTTCTAAGAGTTAAGATGGTTGCTGACATAACTTCTTGAGAAAATACTAAACCTACAAACATTCCCAGTTACTTCCTATTGCAATACCAAGAGACTACGGTAATAAACCATTTTCTTTATCTATCCTCCTCAGCTGTAAATTTAGTGAGGTCTGCTTGCCCCAGTGTAAAAGAAAAGACTGCCCTGAAGATACCCTATAATTCTCCTAATAACAAGACATGCATTTCTGGAGCTTCTATAGATTTTTACTACTGGAATTAAGAAAATAAAACACATCCCTACTTCCTTATCTCTCTTGTTTTTAATTAGACTTTGAAAGGAAAAAAGGAAATCACACATAAACACTTGTATTATGCAAAGACTTTTTGTATAATAATTATACAAATTATATAATTATACAAATATAATCATTTTGTATAATAAGGATGAAAGTATAATCAGTCAAATTGTCAAAGGAAAAACATCTCTTGTTCATTCTATCAAAGTGTACTCTAAAAACCTTTCTCAAATCTAGAGATTTGGTGACTGCCTATTTTGCATATTCATTTTCACTGCTTTGCATTTTATACGTTGTACTTAGCCATTTGCAAAGCTCTGACACATCTCTTGCTGTTTCACATCTCTTAGCCTATGCATATCCAGTTTCTTCTCTATAAAACATCCTGTATACCTGAAAATACCCCTACTCTTTCTTCAGGATGCTGATCAACTTTTTTTCATCTATGAAACTTCTTTGCCCCATATTAGGTTGGTGCAAGAGTAATCACAGTTTTAGCACTGTTGAAATTTTCCCTTTGATATTGGAATACATTCTTAAATCAATGTGGTTATGTTATACATCATTTTAATGCACATTTTTTACTTTATGTTTTTTTTGCTAATGACTTATTATTTGCTATTTAATTTATATTTATTTAGACTATGGAAATGATGTTAGACAAAAAGCAAATTGAAGCAATTTTTATTCGAGTAGGTGAGTTAAGATATAAAGAAATATAATTAATCAGTCAAAGGACTTATATCCAGAATATATAGAGAATTTCTCCCTTAATAATGAAAATAAGGAAACCTCCAGAGGAAGAGTTAAAAGACTTGAATAGGTACCTCAAAAAAAAAAAAAAATACCTAAATGGTCAATAAGCTCTGTAAGGCCTTGCACCTAATTCGTATTAGGGAAATACAAAGTAAAGCCCCAATGAGATGTTACCAGACATCTACTAGTATGGTTAAATTTAAATATTTTTAGCTATATTTCATCTGTTACACAATGCTGTTCAAAGTGAAAATTGGTGCATATATTTTGAAAAGTTATTTGAAAATATCTACTAAACTTGGACAAACTAATACTCTAGGATATAACAATTTTATCCCAAGATGTATAACCAAGAGAAATCTGTACACATATAAAATAAAAGACTTATATAAGAATATGAATAGCAACACTATTTTAATTACTGACAACTCAACTGTCCACCAATAGTATGATGGATAATTAACTTGTGGAATATTCACATACACATAATGGAATGCCTTATTAGTTCTTAAATGTTAGACTGAATCAAATTCACATGGGGGTCCTGTGAAAACGCAGATTTCTAGACCTCAGCCTCATAATATTTGACTTAGTAGGTCTGAATGAGGACTAATAATTTCCATATCTAATGAGCAGCATTGCTCACATTTTGGGATACAGTAGCCTACATCAAAGAAAATAAAACAAAAACAAAATAGCAAGCACAATAGATATAGATCTCACAAATATTATATTGAATGAAATAAAGCAAATATTCAGGAGTATATACATTATGGTTATGGTCAAAGCAAGCAAAATTTGTGAAACTATTTGGGATAGTGGTTATCTTTGAAGATAGGAGATACTAACTGGAAGTATGCAGTAAAAGAGATTTTAGGGTGTTAGTAATGTTCTATTTCTTGATCTGGGTGCTGGTTCCCTGGCTTATGCTCACTTTGTGAAAACTCATCAAGGTGTATACTTAAGATTTAGGGACTTTTCCTCCTAAATGATATACTTGAGTAAAAGTGTTTATTAAAAAAGAAGCCTAAACTTAATCCATAAATATATATAATTACATATAATTTATATCCTACAACCAATAATAAACCCATATTAGTAAATTATAATTATGTTGAACCACAAAGAAGCAGTTGTGGGATTATTTGAATATTTATCACATAGTTGACACTGAATCAAAGGATTTAAGAGAGTGACGGGCATCTTTGAGAGAACCCGACAGGTTCCTAGTGCTTGGGTGCTGAGTGTCATTGCTCCTCACAACATTGGTGTCCACTGGTGTTATTTTAATCCTTGGGATACAGGGGGCACCTTATTATTTTTGCAGTGATCCAGGGGTTGTACTCCCTCCTCTTGCATTTCTGCATAATTGGTAAAAAAATAAAATTACAACACAAATGACTATTATTTTTCTTTAAAATTTGCTACCTTGCAATCATTCTTCCAAAAGGAATAAGGGAGAAGTTGAACAGGTAGGTGTGTTTTCACCAATCTAGGAGACTGCATGTTTTTCAACTGTTCAACACCTACAATCACAAAAATTTTTTAATTACATTATAAATGTGGAATTATAAAGGTCATTTACAATATATGTTAAACTTTCTATAAACTCTACTATATGGCTTGAAATGGTCATGTGATTTCATATACTTTAAAAATCTACAATGAGATAAAAATATGATAAACTCTGGTAGACTGATTTTTGCCTATGTGCAACAGTCGACAAATCCTCAGCTATATAACATATAGCTGCTGTGATGAAGCAGAAATAGCAGTAGGTCAAGAGTCAAGATGTCCAGATTTTTCCTTCATTTTTTTCTTATTTACTATATGACAAAATAATACTAGAGGATTTCAAATCTCTTTCCATCTCTTCCATATTCAAATTCTAAGACCAAATTAAGCAGTAAGGCTCATGACTATATTTTTTTTAAAAATTAATAATGCAAACCCAAATATTCCCATAATCCTTTTCTTTCAGTTTGCAAATATCAGCTATATGATTCTATATTGAATCAAACACTGAATTTTCTCTACATAATCACTCAATATTAAATCTTGAAGACATGCACCTGTCTTTTTAAGAAAAAAAATGCTACATAAATTACTCTCTTTATATGTCAAATTAAAAAAACAAAAGAAAAAAATGAATAAAAATTTTAAAAAATTTAAAAAAAAAGAAAAAAAATGCTACATAAAACCTTCTCTTAAGCAGATATTATCCTCAGGTGGAGGAAGAGTGTAATATAGGTATTGGTATAGCCAAATTCTGACTCTTCCATTATAGACACGTGTGACTTTATTAATGACTGTCCAGCTTCATCTGGATCGTTTTCCATCATGACTCCTCCAGACATCACAAAAGATTTATTCCTATATTGAAAAGAAATATTCAGAAAACAATACCACTTATGATTCCAGGAATTACAAGTTCCATGAAAGGCACGCGGTTGTATATGGCATCCCGTTTACATTTGTCTGCATCCCCATTGTTATAGATCAAATCCAATATTTCACTGATCCAGGTTGTTCCTAAGGGGGAAAAAATGGAAGAAACTCTGATCTTACGTGTTGAAAAGCATGTAAGAAGGTAGACAAGTCTCATAACAGTATCTAAAACAAAAATGTTCTCTTTTTTTTTACTTCCTGTCTTTCTTCTTCCCCTTACCTAGAAGAGATCCTTATCTATCTTGAACATATACATATATATAGTGTGCATGTAAGTTCCAATTAAAATGTTCTATAAATAAGACTCAAAAAAGAGAAGTGAAGAAGGAAAATGAAAAGAACCTCGAGATTTCATATGTACTGACCAATGTGCCACTCACAAACAAAAGACAGTCGATTCTGATTGAGTAGAATGGATCAAGCCACTCTGATCTTTAAGATATCGTGTCTCACCAGTCTTTTGAGAAATGGATCTAAAGCATGTGAGGCCATGGTGTACTTGTCTATAGCATTCAATGATCAAGTTACAAGAGGTGCTGCTGAAAAATAATTATAAGACATAGGAAGAAAATCTCTTCTTTATGGTTCCCATTTCCCTTCTCTTTACCAAAGGTGTAATGATAGTCTCTAAATTAAATTATAGTGAGTGGTAACTAAAAAATTAAGTTAATGAATTTATCAGTTAATTAAGCCATGCACACAGCAATGTTTTTGAAGAGTGATCTACATATGGATGCACATTTGTGTGTTCCAGATACTAGAGTACTTCAGAACCCCTTTTTTAGTCCTTTCTTGTGGTCAACTCTCTTCTTCTTGACTATAAATCATGAATACTTATATTAGGCAATCTCCCCTATCCTATCATAGACAATTATACTATGAAAACAAAAAATGTGAGCCAAATCAACATCAGCATCCTTGAACTTTTGATTTGGCTTAGGCTTAAGCAATAATTCATTACAAAAAAACCCTGAAATCCAAAGTACAATGTAACCTGTTTAATCTATCAGTGAGCTGTTCACGTTGTAGCCCATAAAGTCTGATTGAAAGAAATGCCAATTTAGCTATTTCGTATGCTTTGTATTGGAAAAATTTGTTTTGCATGATTTTGGAAAAAGGGAATAAAGTTTAGCTCATAAAAGGAGATAGTTAATTTGGATCTTTTTAACAAAATTAATGAGGCATCGATATATTAATATCTTTAAGACATGTTCACAATAGCTTATAAAGCGAAAAACAACAAAAAAAAATCTACCAAAGAGCACGTGATCAAGCTATGTGTAGCCATCTAGCTTTTACTATGTCAGAAAAAATTCAGCTTCAAAGAGCATATTTGTAGATGAACTATTTGCAAAAGGATACCATCCAAATATTATTTTTTTAATTATTTATTTAATCCGGTAGTTATTTTTAGAGACAGAGTCTTTCTCTGTTTCCCAGGCTACAGTGTAGTGGCATAATCACAATTCACTACAGCCTCAAATTCTTGAACTCAAGCAATCCTTCCACCTCAGCCTCCCAAGTCCCAAGTAGCTGGGACCATAGGCTCGAGTCATCACGCCTGTCTAATTTATTTTTATTTATTTTTTAATTTATTTTATTTTATTTATTTATTTATTTTTGAGAGACAGAGTCTCTCTCTGTTGCCCGGGCTACAGTGCCGTGGTGTCAGCCTAGCTCACAGCAACCTCAAACTCCTGGGCTCAAGCGATCCTTCTGCCTCAGTCTCCCGAGTAGCTGGGACTATAGGCATCACCATGCCTGGCTAATTTTTTCTATATATTTTTAGTTGGCCAATTAATTTCTTTCTATTTTTAGTAGAGACAGGGTCTTGCTCTTGCTCAGGGTAGTTTCGAACTCCTGACCTTGAGTGATCCACCCGACTCGGCCTCCCGGAGTGCTAGGATTACAGGCGTGAGCCACCACACCCGGCCTTATTTTTATTTTTGATGACAGAGTCTTTCTATGTTACCTAGGCTGGTCTCAAACTTGTGGTCACAAATGATCTTCTCCCACCTCAGCCTCCCTAGTAGCTGGCTGGGATTACATACAAGAGCCACCTTGTCTGACTCAAAGATTATCTAAATGCTTTTCTTCTTTTAAATATACTAAAAATAGCAAAAACAAAAGAGCATAGACATTCTGTGTCTGCTTTTGCCCCCTTCTCTAAGCACTTATCTCAACAAGGAAATACAAAGTGGTTTGGGTCTTAATTTGGGTTTGGTAAACTATTAGGAGAACAATGCAAAGTAGTAAGGAAGAAAAAAGATGTTTTGCCAAGATGAACTTGCTTTTCTACTATCTATAGAGGTCTTCATTGTGCATTTATTTGTTTATTCCCTAGTAGGAACCCTTTGTTTTCATGTAGTGTTTATGGTTTTGGTATATTAGATTCCCCACATTCAGGACTTTCATCCCAGAACTTGTTAAATATTACTTTGAAATAATTTTGATGCGTATAATCTAAAAGAAAGATCGGTAGTCAATATAGCTACTAAAAACTTCTTCCTTTAAGAAATGAGGTTGGGATATTAAGGAAAGTCTACATTAGAGGGTTAGTAACTAGAACAGTTGATTGATGTTGAATTCAAGTATTTCATTGCATAAAAGGCAAGAGGGAGAGCCTCATTTGTCCACACTCTCTTTGTACATTTATCATTGGGTAATTCAAAGACTGTCATAAATAGACCTGGAAAAATAAAAATCGTTGATTCTTTTCAAGCACTCTAAAATTCTCCTTTCTGAGATTGTATACTTAGGTCAGTAGTTGTTTAAATATAAAAACAAAATATTTAAACATCAAAATGTATAGAAGATATATATATTCTAATATACCCAAAATATATGTATTCTAGAATATATGTAAATGTACCCAAATCACATATATATGCAGTTTTGATCATTTTATTTGAATTTACAAAGAAAAACAAAACAACAGCATTCATTTTTGTCTCAGATATATCCTCCATTCAATTGCTAGCCTTTCAGAATAGAGAAAGAATTTGTCTAATTGAAGTCGAAACTCTCCCAGCAACCACCAACAGTGTTCCCTTGACAACTGTTTAATGATCTCAGGTTAGACCTGACTAGTAGGCAGCAGATCAGTGGGTTTACATAAATGAATCACTACCTAAGTATCTAGAACAGCTAGATGAAAGGGACTTACCAGATTTGGGATAGGTGGAGATCAGAAGATCATCTGGTCGGGCCTCAAATGACTCAATCTTGGACCACTCCTCAGCTATGCTCCAGAAGAGAGGAATACCCTGAACGTCCACTAACTCCCTCCTGAAGACATTCTGCATGTTGTCCATGTTGGGAAAACTAGATTTAAAACAAAATGCAACATTGATAAAATTTTAAAATAAGTTGATATTGTAATAGTATTGTCATTACTCAGATACACCATCATCAGATTACAATACTGTGTGTTACGTGCTGTTCATTATTACATAGCAATGGCACTTTTCATTTGTCCACTGACTATTAATAGCATTCGCTCAAGCAAAGTGGGTTTTTTGTGGGAGAAGGGGGAATGTGATAAGCCCACAGTTCAGCTCACCTATTTCCTGTAACACAAAGAAAAAAGACATTCCCTTGCCCCTCCTGACCACCTGCCCGAGGCAGGGATACAGGTCTCAGTTCCCAGAAAGAGTGCAGGAGGTTTTAAAGAGAGAGAAAACATCTTTTGCCATTTCTTTTTTCAGACCATTCCCTCTGTACGTGTTTCCCACTATTAATTTTAGGCTTCCATGTCTATGGGAGGAGGGGCTGTTACTCGGTGACAATAAGTTTAGTGACATGTTGATCATCCATCCTCCATTCTACTCCTGCCGCATGAAAACTTACCTGGTTTACAATTAATCCCATTAGTTATAGGCTCTTTGTGCTTTAATATGACTTTTTATATAAAACTCATCTATGGTGATGAAGAAATTCTAGAAGAGATATATATACTCTCTCCCTGAAGAAAACAAACCAAAAAGGTCCTAGAGGGAGAAGTTTCTGGAAATTTCTTTTATATGTATTAAGTTCATTAATGTTTTCCAGAGTCTAACCATCCTTGCTTCACCCAGTGTAAACAATCTGCTCCCATCCTTGCAGATTGTGCAAAGTTTAACATTTTTAGTAGACAAAACAAATAACTTTCCCAACCATGTTTTCCACTATGTTAAAAATATCAGAAAGCAAAGGGCAAAATGTACAGGTTCTTGGCTAGCTACCAGTTTTTTGTGTTTTATAACAGTAAATTTTGTTGTTATTTTCATCACACTCATACATACTAACATGAAGCATGATGTCTTGAAAGTAAAATTAATTTAAAATTTTTTATCGAATACTATTATTTAACTTCTGGCAGACACCGTGAACTGGGGACTCCAATGTTGAAAGGGAAAACCTCGAGCTTCTCTATGATTGTGGCGCTTAGAAGCGGGTGGGTGAGAAACTGAACAATGTTGTGTAAGGGCCTGGTTGCAGCCCAAAGCTGCTGACTCACTTGTGCAAGCCTGGATAACAGAAAATTGGCCCTGGGGAGGAGTAATCGGCTTCTGGAAACTGCTAGCTTGGGGCCCAAAGGTAGAGCTATCGGCTAAACGCATATTTCTGCTTCTGAGAATCGCTTGCTTGCAGCTAGACGCATAGGTACGGTGCCAGATAAGGGAGAAAGGCCCCTTTGCCGCTGGCGGGCTACCAGTCCACCAATCATTTTAAAGACTAACACGCACAATCAGCTTGTGCAGCGCGGGTGTTCAAGAGGGAGGGGGGATAAAAGGGCAGCCCCAGCTTTGGTCAGGGTCCTTGCCTGTAAGAGCGACCACTGCGCTGGCACTCTAGGGCCTGGACCCTGGCTAGCCAGAAAATAAAGCTCCTCTTGAGTGATTGCATCCTTGGTGTCTTTGTTCGTCTGCCTGGCGGGGTGCAGGAAGCCAGTCCCTAACAGTTGTGGCTCAGGAAGAGAGACCCTAAACACTGATGCTTTGACATGCTGAGAGACCTTAGAAGCTGCCTCAGAATTAAGATCCCTCTAACCTTTTCTCCTCATCACGCACAGAAGTGATTCTCTCTAGAATTTCCTTATCTGAACAAGAAAGTCTCTTTCCCCCCAAAATTGCAATTGTCTTAAACCCTGAGGATCTCACCAAATAATCCAGAAAGATCAACCACCAGAAAAGACAGCGACTGGAAGTCATTACCATGCCTAAGAGATTATTAAGAGATTACCTGGGTGACCTAATCTGCATTATAAGACAACCTTTTGTCCTCTGCAGCTCTACCTCTCACCTCCTTGTAATGGCTGTCTCCCACCTCTCATTCATTCTCTCTAATAATTTACTGCCCCTCAAAAGAATTGTTTACGTTCCCCACCTCCCCTCTCCTCTATGAAGAAAAGCATGTCCAAGTTTCTGTACTGCGCTGAGTTATTGGGTAATCAATCATTCTCCTGGGATTCCCCCATGCTATGCATGTTAAAATAAAATTTTGTATTCCTTTTCTCCTATTAATCTGTCTTTTGTCAGTTGGTTTTCAGTGAACCTTCAGAGGGCAAGGGGGAAGTTTTCCTTTGGCCTCTAAATCAACCATAGCAATCAATTGAAAATTCTTTATCATTTTAAGTGCTGTGAAGCAAAGGCATATCAATAAAAATGTCAGCATTTACAGACTAAATCTGTTTAGAAACATTTCTCCTGAGGAATGAGCAAGAGTTAACTTGCAGAAAAAAAGAAATTTTTAGCCAGGGAATAGTATGTATAAAGCCTCTATGATGGGACAGACAAATCAGACCTGTGTGCCTAGAGTTCAGAAAGGGACAAAAAGAACACAAATACTTTGCCAAATTATGTGGTAAGAAACAAGAGAATTCAGGGCACCAACCTTAATGAGAGTCAGAAAATAAATATTGAGTTTAGTTGAGCACAAATCTTGAGTGAGGATGGCAACCCAGGATGGCCATTGAGCAAGCACATCCCCTTCAAAAGAATGAGATCACTGTGCCAAGTGGGGAAGGTAAGGCTTCACTTATATAGGAAGAAACAAACTTCAAGAGGATTCAACATTTTTTATAAAAGTCCAGTGCATATTTAATTTTGTTACAGCTTTGCTACATTTCACAGAAGATTGCATAACCATTTCATGATATTAACAAAAGACCATGAAAACTTTGAAGGAAAAAGGAAGAAGTTTATTTTCTAAAACAAAACAAAAAAACCCTGCCGATTGGGAAGACATAGCCTTCAGCACAAATAAAAGTGTGTTTTCCAAAGAACAAAGGTAGGGTCTGGCTTAAATAGAGAGAAGTTCTCACCCCAGTGTTTGATCAGGTCTGTTTTTGCAAATGAAGGACTCCAACTTGCTTAGTTCTGATTGAAATAGTTGAGCTCTGGGTGGTTTCTAAGACCCAAAGTCTCCTTCAGATGTTTGCTTCAAACAGCCAATGGTGAAGGGGGTTCCAGCCACAGTTTACTTTGGCATTCAACAACAGGAACTATTTGGGCTTGACTGTAGAAAGAAAAATCTTGTGACACTTTCATTATGTCTTTCTGAGAACACAGAGTCCGTGACCTCTCCCTCACCTGTTCTGTTTTAACTTTAAGCAGCTCAGTTTGGCACAGGGAGCCCACTTCGTCTGTCAGTCAGGGGCACACTCTAACAGTGAGGAGAGGTAATGATCTGATACCATTCAGTTGTTTCTATCATTTATAGGAAAAAACAGAAGTTGCAGCTGCGTGCTACACAACTCAAGCCACATTGCCATATTCCTTCAAGACTCAAAATAATTTAAAGTTCTGACAGCTTTAAGTTTGAATAATTTAATTTCACAAGGGTTCTATCTGGGCAAGTGAATTGAGGATATAGTGGGTTTCTGGCTAGTTTCCACCAGAATGGGGTGTCCACTGACCCTCCCTAAGTCCCACTTTCAACAGTTGCTCTGTCCTAACATGAGAGGGTGGTGATGTGCAGCTGGTGCCAGGATACCCCTTGGCATCACGAAGTATATAATTAAAGATATTAGTTTTCTTTGTTTATTTTTTGCTTTCACCAAAGCTCAAAGCTCTTGGGATTTATAACTACCATACAAACAGGTAATATTAAGTTGCTTCTGTGTGTGTTATACCTTAAAAATAAATGCATAACAGCACTGGGCTGTGATTCAGTGACATTGGTCCAGCAATACTTCCTGGTAATATTCACTAAAGTTCATGGATATCTGCTTGTGAAAAGAAAGCATGTGAAATGTAATGTTTAAAATGTCCACAGTTAGAGGTTGTTTTGTCTCCTCTTATATGGCAAAAGATATGACATATTTATTAAATAAATGTTTGCTAGGAAATACTGAGTTCCAAACACTATTCCAAGTGCTGGTGATAGAGCAGGGACTGGCACAGAGAAAATGCTGTGATTCGCACCTTTTCGTCTTTCCAGGTACATGGGGAAAGACTGCAATTTTCAGCCCCCTTGCAGTTAGATTGGGTGTGTATGTCTGGGTTCTGGCAAAAGGGATGTAGGTGACATAAAACAATTCCTTGATCCTCCAATCCTCTCTTCCACTGTCATGGAGGCCTTGGAGTCTGTGGGTTCAGATGCCATTGAAATTTGGTGTTTGGAATTCTTTACTACAGTATAGCCCCAAAGAGTGTGGCTAGTACTGGAAAATTCTCAGATGAAATATCTACTCTTATGGAGCTTACAGTCTAATATAAACAAAGTAAATAGATTTTATATCATATTGAGAGAAGTAACATGAAGAGACATAACATGAAGAGAAATAAAATATGGTAAAGGATAAAGAGGGAAGAGATCAATGGTAAGGAAAAATGATAATTGGAATTCATACATTAAAAAAATAGATAAATGAGTGTCTACACCTAACTGTGATAAACCTTGCCTTGAGCTTCAGCATTCTTCTTGTCTACCCTGCAAGTTTTCCTTCAATAACCTCGTCCAGGTCAAAGATTTAAACATCTTCTACATGCAGATCTGCACATATAAATATCAATATTCTCAACCTAACAGAGACTTAGATATTCAGCTATTGTCTGAACATTTCCACAAATGTCTCAACAGTTCTGCAAATTCCAAATGTTTAAATCTGAGGTATCACTTTCTCCCCAAATCTGCTTTTCTTATCATGTTATTTAGATTAATGACCAATCAAAGAACTTGGGAATTACTTCTGGCTCCCACTTCCCCTATTCTACATTCCATCAATCACCAAGCCCACAAGTTGTATTTCTTTAATATTTCTTAGAAATGCAGCTGCATTTGTATTCTATTTACCACTACCCTACTTGAAGCCCTTATCATAAATAACATAATACTGTAACAATTACTCATATGACTTGTTCTTCCAGTCATTACTTTCACATCCATCCTTCATGCAACCTAAAATGGCCTAGCTCCCTGCTTAAAACCTTTTATTGATGCTTCAGCTGCCTATAGAATAAAACACAAATTTCCTAACTCTCTTTCTAAGCTGTGCAATTTATCCTCAAACCAGTTATTTACTATACTGATTTACTAATAGGTCTCCTCATATACTTCCTAGTTTCTCTTTCGAAATTGGATAGTTTTGAGCATGAGCCCTAGCTCTGTAGCCTATTTTGGTCTAGTGCTTGTTAAAATAGGGCTAATAACAGTGCTTTTGTAAGATTTATTTGAGATACTATGTGCCAAACCTTATGGCTGGTACATAAATTGTATATCGAATAATATATTAATAAAAATGTTCCTAGGCCAGTGCAGTGGTCTCTCAAGACTGTAATCCTAGCATTTTGGGAGGCCAAGGCAGGAGAATCTCTTGAAGTAAGGAATTTGAGAGCAGCCTGGGCAACATATGGAGATTTTCATCTCTACAAAAAATAAAAACAATTAGCTGGATGTGTTGGTGTGTGCCTATGGTCCCAGCTACTCAGGAAGCTGAGGGGGAGGATCACTTGAGCTCAGGAGTTTGAGTCCAGCCTGGGCAACTCATCTCAAAAA